GGTTAAGGGGTTGAAAGTAGACCAGCATGTTTAAGCCTTTTAGCATTTATACTTTTCTGCCTAACTGTGAAGTTGCAGATTTTTTGGGATATACATACTAAAACTGATGCGTCCATCAACCTTATTATCTAATGGTTATAGTTGCATAATTGCACTCCTTTATTTAAAAAATAAAAAACAAATAATGAGAAGCAGACCATTTTTAATATTACCCTTAAGTGAAGTCACAATATTAGATTTTCCCAACTCGATTTGCACTACCGAAAGCATACACAATAACTAAATTATTGCAAATTAATATCTATTAGAAAAACCCGAATTATGCCATCAGTCCAATTCTTACTTAACCTTGTTTGTTGTGCATTTTGTCTCTTTTCCGGTGAACGAAACATTACAAAATACAAATGAACGGAGGTGAAGAGAGTTTGGAACCATAACTGTGTAAAAGTGCACAAGAAGAGGTCATGAAAAAAGTCCTTATCTCTGCCATCAATACAATTTTAACTTAAAATCACCAGCAGGAAGTAAGACAATATTATCATTTGTGGATTATTAACACAATACAGTATCAATATTCCTTGTTTTTCACATATTACAGATATTGTAAATACCGTTAGACCATGAAACCCCTATTGCTCTATTTTTAAATAGATCCTGTGTTTGAGTGTTTTCATTTGAAAGGCTCACAGGCACTGTGTTTGTGTAAAGTGGTGATCTAACAGACAATGTCCTGAACTGACGGTGCGTTCAGGAACCGACCTGCTGAAGTGGGCTGTTGTTCCACTCAGACTGGTTTGGCTCTCCATCAAATCTGTCAAGTGCAATTAACAACCTCATATGTGCGCTGAATTCCCACACACACAAACACACAAAAGGCCTGGGGATGACAGAGAGAAGGGGGTGGGGGTCATTTCAGTAATGAAGGTGAGGGGGAGGAGCAGCTCAGTCTGCACGTCAACAGGGATAGGATAGTTCAATGCTGAACAAATTATAATGCAGTTTAAGAAATAACGCCTTACAGAAAATGTCTACTGTACAATTTGAGTGAAGTGCTGTACTTAGAATAGATCATCACTGAAGTCAAAGTAGAAACCTATGGACTTAAAATATTCAATTACAAAGGACCTGAATTCTTAAGTAAAAGTAAAAAAGTATTTCCATCAAAATGTACCTAATGTACCAAAAGTACTTGTTCACCACAGTGACCCATTTCAGAAAGAGAGTACTGATATATGATCAGCTTATCAAAACGGAAAGTAGTGGCTACGCTCTTTTTATAGTATTATTTTTATTATATTTTATTATTATTATCACTGACAAATACATGTAAGAGCATTTTAATGTTAAAGAAAAAAATCTACTTTAGATACTTAAGAAAACACACAATTGATTATTAGTACAATACTGCATCATGTATGCACATCATGCGTAAGTATTTAATAAATATAGCGGAGTAAAAGTAAACGATCTCCCTTTAGTAAGGGAAATATTCAAGTAAAGTACAATACGCCAATATAAGACTTGCAGTTAAGTACTTAATACAGTGCTCCACTGTCGAAATGACTTGTTTTTGTGTCCTCTTCACACCTGTGGATGCCCCCAGCTGCTCTCAGGGTGACGATGAGGGAGTCCAGCCTGGAGGCGGTGCAGGGTGACGAGGTGCTGCTGCCCTGCTCCTTCTTCACCTCCAGCCCGCTCTCCAGACTCAACGTCATCTGGACCATGGCCCCCTTATCCAGTCCTGAGACCCCCAAACAGGTCTGTGTCTTAACACACACACACACACACACACACACACACACACACACACACACACACACACACACACACACACACACACACACACACACACACACATCGAGAGTTGGGAGGCTTACTTTAAAACTGTATTCAGATCAATTACTAGTTACCTGTTCAAAAAAAGGTGATCTAATCTTAGTACAAAATAATTACTTTTGGATCACCTTAATATCAAATGCAATGCAAATAATTAGAGATAAAGAAAAGACAGAAAAATAAATATCAATACTGTGTATTGTATAATGTGTATTATGTAAGAAAACATAGAAATGTACCTTTAGGAAATAAGAAACCAAGATATTTAGTATCAAAAATGTGTCGTCAGTGTTTTGCTTTTAGGGAAACCTGCCTTTCACTAAGCAAACTCAGGCAGTGGATCAACACTGAAACACCGGACCACATATTACAGTTTTTAATAACATTTAGGAAACAACAATTGTTCAGTTTTAGTTTATTAAAATACAGAACATGCTCAGATTCACACTGAATGTGTCTGATCTCACTTGCAGGTGATTGTGTACGACCATGGTCAGGTGATCGAAGACCCCTCACTCATTGGCAGGGTGGGTTTTACAGGTAAGACCACTGAAACCCTCTCTTATCTGAATTGTGATGTTTGTGTTTTCACATGGATAATACTCAAAATACTTATTTGGATTTTCACATGTTGATCTGAAATGATTTAAGGATTCATAAAAACATTTAAGACATGATACAAATCTGACCGACTGCAGGTATACCGTGGAGCGCAGACATCTCCCTGAATGACACCCTAATATCAGATGCTGGTATTTACCGCTGCATGGTCAACAACCCTCCAGAGACGGCAGATCCCGGCATCGGAGAGCTGGAGCTCAGCGTGCTGGGTGAGTGAGTCACAAACCCTCCACTTTAAATGTTCTGTTAGTCTTTATTATTTACCTACCTTTATATTGTTTTATTTATTTTATAGGTCTTAATCTTTTAATTTGAATTTCTGTTGTATACCTATATGTTCACTTTGTTTTATGGGGTTTTATATTTTATATTGTTGCATTGACTTAGTTGTCTTGTGTCTTATCTGTCAGAGAGAAACCATTATTTATTTTATTTTATTTTAATTATCATACCTTTGACCTCCTTGTGTCTATTAACCTGATAACATGTTATATTTTGCTGCATGTACAGGTCTGTAAAGTTCTTAACAAATAATCAGAGGGGAATTTCTTGTGGTTTATTTTTAACTTGTGATGTGTCATTTTGTACTTTGAGCTCCATGTGTTGTATGAAAAGTGCTATATAAATAAAGCTTTATTATGATTATATATTAGAAGAAAACACCACTTTTTTATGTACGTATTTTTTTAATTTAGATTTCCTTTTTAGTATTTGTTATATTTGTCCTTTCCATTGGGGCTAAACAGGTCCACACGCAAGTCGTTTTTAGCCATGCTAGCAGCGTGGATCATTTCTACACCACCGCCTGGACTGAAATAAAATATAATATAAAAATATAATTCCTCTTCTAACATTATGATTGATTGACATGACATTTCATACCCACATTCATGGTCTCCAGAGGATGAGTCCTAATAACTTTGGGGATCTGTTAACTGTAGTCATACCCATGGATTGTATATTCAGTATAAAAAAAGTTGATGCAATGGGTTGGATGTTTTTCTCCTGGTTATCACTTCTCTAGTGTGCTTGATCTACTTACATATTCCTTTAATCAAATGCTTTGGTTTAAATACCTGCAAACCCTGAAATGTCTGTTAAGGTCATTCTCACAGCAAAGCATTGAAACACTGAACTCACATCTATCCGTGAGCGTTTCCCTGCATCTCATACTGAGAAACTCCTCTACTGATTTGTGTTGAAGCGCCCCCCTCGCTGCCTGTGTGCCAGTGGGGCGGAGACATTGATGTGGGAGGAAGTGTCACGCTGTCCTGCTCCGTGGCCGAGGGCATCCCCACCCCAGAGATCCGCTGGGACAAACTGAATCCAGAGGAGATCGCACTACCCATCAACATGGACGGTCAGTGACAAAGATACACACACGCACCCATCATCATCACCTTGGAGGTCATTATTTTAATTTGACAGGGTATTCAAGATCCCAAAGATAGCAAACAAGGTCAGGGAATTCAATATACAATTGAATATTGCACGTGAGAACTCACAAGAGACTTTATTAGAAGAAGAATGGTTCATCTTTTCTTTTTCTTTTTATATATGGAAAAGCTTGATTCTACATTTTCTAATCCTCTGCTCTCCTGCACAAACACTTACAGCTTGGTCTGATAGCATACAAGATGTAAAAAAACATATAAATAGAAAAAGTCGATTACTGGCCCTGTGGCCCATAATATATTCTCATGTGTGTCACAAGTCTTCCAAAAGAGTGAACTCAAGATCAACATGGGACTCCAGTACTTCAGCCCTGTTACAGCATATTTTATTTGACCTCCCGTGTCTTAAAGGCCAACATCTTTCAGACCATTCATTTCCAATTTCTATCACAGGACTTGAAAACATTGTTTGCAAGTCTCAAGCCAAGATAACCCCACTATGACATTATCAGGGTTATTTTATGAAACCTCAGACGAACACCTCCAAAAATGGCTGAGAATAATCCAACTTTATGTTCAATTTCTGATTTGTAATCATCCACACCCTCTGCTGGATCACAACACTCCACTTCTAAGGTTTTAATACTGTCTTCTTCTCTGTCAAAGAATTTAGTTTAAAATGCTGCTGCTGCTTTATAAAGCACTGAATGGTTCAGAGCCAAAATACATTTCTGATCTCCTGCTACATCCAGAACTCTCAGGTCTTCTGGTCTGCTTTCTGACCCAGAGTCCGAACCGAACAGGGAGAAGCAGCGTTCACTTATTATGCTCCAAACATCTGGAACTTTGAATCCTGATGTGTTACTGTCTTATTCTAATTTAGCTTGTTTTATATTATACTCTAGGCCAGGGGTCTCAAACTCAAATACACAGTGGGCCAAAATAAAAAAAGTGGGTACTAGTCGAGGGCCGTACTGGTTCAATGTTTATTGCTAAACGTATTGAAATGAACTTATTGCACATATTAAACCTGGAACTAACAAAGCTTAAATGATTGCCTATAAAAACAACATTAAATAATCAGTTGCATTCATTTCTTATGGCTCTATCTGCAGCTTTTCCAGAGTCATTTCTTCTTACATTTTCCCACAGGCCAACAACAGCTTCAACAAAACTATTTCCCTCAAAGAAAAAAACAAACATGCCCTGTTGTCTCAAGAAGAAAAGTGCAAAAAGGAAACATCCATTAAACTCAGGTTGCTGCTCTGTGATGCTAGCTCAAGCAGATACTTGGCATCTCATCTCAGGTGCAAGTTCATCAATGTTTGGGGTTAGGCTCTGAGCTGAGGAGACCCTCAGGATTGAGTGAATGCAATATACCGGCGGGCCAGATCTAATAGTAATTAAAAATTATCCTGCGGGCCGAAATTAAATCCACCAAGGGCCTGATTTGGCCCCCGGGCCTTGAGTTTGACACATGTGGTGTAGGGGTAGGGTGTAGGGCGTGGTTTGGGATTGAGCCTAAATCAGTAAT